AAATAGGAAAAGGCATGTCTAGAACCTCTTAGTCTTATCTTCCCTGTGGTTAAATAAATTTCTAGTAATGTCCTCCAAAATAACCATTTGTTACATTTTTTAATTTTTCTAATGTAAACAAGAAGTAAAAGAAAAACAGACAGGCAGAGTTCTCACACACTGGTTCAGTCTCCAAATGCCCTCAAACAACTAAAACGTGGCTGGATAGGAGCTGGGAACTCAATTTACATCTCCCACATGAGTAGCAGGAAGCTATCTACTTGAGCTATCACCTTCTGCCTCCCCAGGTCTGAAATGGCAGAAAACTAGAATTCATAGCCAGTGCCTGGTATTGAACCCAGGTACTCTGAAAAATGGGACGCAGACATCTTAACCACTACACCCAATGCCCCACCTTCATTTTATTTTTGTAAGTGATGGTGAAATTTTTGTGTAGTTTCAAATTGTGAAACATGTAAACAGACTTTAAAACTGACAAAATTTAAAAGCTATAAAAGAGTTGCTTTTTTTTAGCTCAAAAGTCTTTTTACTCATGTTATCATTTATTACTATGACAGTATCCAATAAAATGATGTGATTACCTGCATAGGGCAAGGTCCATGGATCACTCAGCCTGAGCTTCCAATTGTTGTCCTGAATAACAATGGTGAGAGTGGGTATCCTAGTCTGGTTCTGGATCTCAGTGGGAATGCTTCCAACTTACCCCCATTCAATAGGATATTGGCCTGCATTTGTCATAAATTGCCTTGGTTGTGTTGAGGAGTGTTTCTTCTATACCAATTTGATTAAAGTTTTCATCATGAAAGGGCAATTTTTTGAACAGCTTCAAAAGAATCATAGTTAGTTCTCTAAATGCCTAGTACAATTCAGCAGTGAAGCCATCTGGTCCTGGGCTTTCCTTTATTGGGAGGGTCTTTTTGACTGATTCAATTTCCATCTTGGTTGTTGGTCTATTTAGGTTTTCTTTGTCTTCATGGCTCAGTTTAAGTAGGTTGTATGTGTCCAGAAAGCTGTACCCCCAGGAGGGCAGCAGGGCCTAGCTCAGGAGCCCACACAGACGCCCCACCATCCTCTCCGTATGGAGCTATGGCACAGGCCAGTTCTTCTTCTGAAGCCGCACCCACAGCCTCCTGGTGGCAACAACATGATGATGGCAGGATGGGCCACCGCTCGCCTCCATCAGCGACAAGCATGGAGTGACAACTACCGCAGGTGTGGAGGTGTTGAGATGTAAGGAGTAAAAGTACAGTTGCTTTTTTAATAGTAGATGACATACTCCATCAATTTCCTCCCATTCTTCATGAGTATACCATATTGATGAGTAAATAAGTAAAAACAATTGAGAAAACATTACCAAAATATTTTTAAAACAGGCAATCTCACACTCACGGTAAAAACAGCCAAAGGGAAACAAACGCTTGCATAATCAGGATGTTCTGTTGTATTCACGAACAATACAAGCCCCCGAAAATGAAGACAGTAATTGTCTCCACTGTGGCAAGGCCAGCTCTCCTCTTCACAAAGAGCACTACTTATTATCAACAGCCACAGATACAAAAACAACACGCACAAATTCTGCCCTTAGGGCACAGTGAAGTCCCACGTCAAAATTGTGGGCCCTTCCAACAGACCTTTATATACTTGTTTTAAGTAAATCAGACTTTTAAAAAAATCCTCCAAAGAAAAAGTAGGAAGAGTTGTTCCAGAGGCTGATTCTAGTCTACTGCTATATCCCCAGGTGATAGGCTCCAGAGACGAATGTTAAATTGCAGACAAGTGTCGCTCCCCCATTCGCGGAGGAACGACACAGGACCCTGCGTTGTTCTTTTGTCTGCTTGGCCCTTCCCGGGTTTGCTGCTGGTCCTTCCCGGGTTGGCTGGCAACCCCTCCACCTCCGTGGAGGGGCGGCTCCCCCTGCCACTTTCCCCACTTCCATGGGGGAGTGGCACACCGCCGGCCAGCTCTCTCAGGGGCTGCTCAGATGTTATCCGGGTGTTCCCTTTAGATGTTCCCTCATGCATGTTGTCTCTCTCCTCCTTTATAGTCCTCTTCCACCAATCCCAACTCTGCTACCCACACGCCGAGCACGCTGCTCTCCTCCAATCAGGAGCAGGATCAGCTCCTGCAGGTTATTGGTCAAACTGGAGGCAGCTGTGTAGAAGTTGTTTACTCCTCTCCCAGTGCCATATTGTGGGAGAGCAGATGCATAGAATAAGTCTTAATTCCAGTAACTTAGTCTAGTCCGAGTTGCTCCCCACAGACAAGATAACCTCAGTCTCTTCTAGCACCACTTGTTAGCATGGCTTCCTCTCTCCCCTGTGCATTTCCAATCTCACTATCTTGACCTAGCAGCTGGTTGAGTTCATTAAAATCACAGAGCCAGCTGATGTCTCCATAGACCATATTTAAGAGGTTGCTCCAACATGTTTCCATGAGATCCCAGAAGGTGGATGAGAGATGGGTGCATACCACATCCCAGGACAACATCTTTTACAAGCCACAATATCACTTTAAAAAAAAACAGGTTAATATTTCTGAAGTAAGAAATATTTTTAAAAATCAAAAAATAAAAACATGGCAAATCTATTTACAGCATTTGTGAAGTGAATTATTTCTCTATCAAGGCTTTCTTGTGTAGACTAAGTTTCCCATTAAAATGTATTGGCCTCTTTCTTCTTCTAAAAATAAAGACTTTGAATTGCTTCAAATATTTTGATTGCACAGAAATCAGACATAGGACATTCCACTTATTGTTGAAACAGGCTCCTAAATTATGATACAGCTATTATGATCTCTCAAACTGCTTTAAACAGATGTATTTAAATATTTTTATGGAAATAACCCTAAAGCTATTTATTATGTTCATTAAATTAAAAATTAGTATTCTCATAAGCAAATTCATCCCACTAAAGTTGTACTATAGGAAAATTTTGGTTTTTTTTAAAGATTTATTTATCTGAAACACAAAGTTAGAGAGAGAGGGAAAAATAGACAGAGATCTTCCATACTCTGGTTCCCTCCCCAAATAGGTGCAACTCCCCAGATTGCTGCAACGGCCAGAACTGCACTGATCTGAAGTCACGAGCCAAGAGCTTCTTCTAGATCTCCCACATGGGTGCAAGGGGCCCAAGGAATTGGGCCATCTTCTACTGCTTTCCCAGGCAAATAACAGGGAGCTGGATCGGAAGTGGAGCAGCCGGGTCTCAAACCGGTGCCCATATAGGATGCCAGCACCACAGGCATGTAGCCCCACCCGCTACACCACAGCGCCAGCCCCCAATATCCTTGAATACAGACGAAACTATTAACATTGAGTACCTATGTTGTTAGTAGCCACTGCCACTTTCTCTCACCTATACTACTGCTATCCAAAAAAGTAGGTTAGGTATATCACAATGTTCTCAGTTATCTATTCCTACTTGGAGACACTGAATTTCTACACTGAATGATAAGAAATCATAAGGAATATTCCTGTTCAAAAATATTCACTATTTGAAAAGCAGAGAGTGAGGTTGGGGCGGGGATGGAATGTGGGACAGAGAAATGGAGAGAGCTCTCCCATCAGCTGGTTTACTCCTGAAGCCAGGAGCCAGGATCTCAGGTTCTCTCAGACAGGCAGCAGGAATACAACTACTTCAGCCAATACCTGCTGCTTACCAGAGTGCATATTAGCAAGATCAGGAGCAGAGCTGGGACTGGAACCAAGCACTCCAAAATGGGATACAAGTGTCCCAAAAAGAATTTTAACCTCCATGCCAAGCATTCTTTCCCAAAAACCTTTACTGACTCTCAAACTCAAGTTGATTTTTAAGTCTTCTTCAATGTGAGCTCAGTTCATCTTTCCATTATGATCAACAACACAAACCCCTGTTCCACTCAGACTGGTCTAGTTGATATCTGCTTTCCTCTAAAATATATTTCAATATTGTATACCCTACCCATTTATTGAGAAATAATCATCGCATCTTGGGGGACTAAAGCCTTCTTATTTAGTAAGTCCAAATCACAAGTCTTTCTCTAAAATGCATATTCCTCCCACAATTCCACAAGAATAAATCTCATAACAGAAATAAAGTTGTCTTGAAGGCATTTAAAATGAAATCACTAAATTGATAACATTAAAATTTGGCATCTCACAGTTTCTACAACAAAGCTTCAATTCATCATGAAGTACATTTTAACTCAATTTATATTTTATTTTGATTTATTGTACTTATTTAATAAGTATAGTGTTAAAATTTAATCAGCATGCTGTTTATTGATGTATGTAAACAAACCAAATTATTCAAATAGATTGACATTACTGAACTTATTAAAAAGGAAATCTAACATAAATTATATTCTTCATTGCACAGACAATAAATTTATTGAAAAGCAGTATAATCTAGTTTTGTTCTAATCATATAAGCTAATGCTTTATTAAACGAAAAATAAATAAGACTATTTATTGTAACAATAAGAAATTTTCTAGAAGAAATGACTAAAATAAAAAAGATCATCATTTTTCAGTATACCTTATAATCTTACAATCAGACTTGCTTATACTTTGATATACTGAACTGGTGTTCTCAAAAAAAAATACTGAGGCTATAGAGGAAGAATTTAGGCAAATGCATCTCCAAAATATGTTTTTTAAGAATAAATCTACAATTATCCAGTTAAATACAATAAGGTACTATGCTATAGAATTTTTTCATAAAATCTAATAATTATATCTATTTATAACAAAGTAAAACCATGGGTCAGAATATTGTGAAACCTGGAAGAAACCTTTAGAAGCATGTATTTCCAAGGACAATTTCTCTAATCTGACAATTTCCCCAGTCCAGCTCAATGTATATTCCACAATGACCCCAGAAACAAGTTCAATAGGTTAAAAAAAAAAAAAAAAGCTAAAACAAATGCAAGGAAAGAAACCTAACCAAGCTTATCAAAGTCAACACCACAGGCAATTTTACAATATGGCTAGTCTTCAGTTTCAGAACTGCAAATACATTTACCTTGGAAAGCAGCTGCATTCCGAGATATTAGCAACTTCAGTGTAGAGCTGGACGTTTGAAGCACCTGCTGTATATCTTGGCGAGCCGCAATTTGGTATCTCTCCTCCATCTTCCTGGTGCAACATGTTGATTTTCTGGATATGCAAACCTGCAGATCGGGTCCTAGAACACATGAAATAGTTTCCAGAATGATTACCTGTCCATTTAACAAACACTACATGTTACACATCAGGCATTATAATTAGCACTGCACACCAAGGCTGATGTCCTATGTGGAGAGTTAATTTGCTAGATTATTGAAAGAAGATTAACTTATCGTGCATCAACACAATCAGGAACAAAATACTCTAAATCATTAACTCCTGGCTCAAATATTTTGTTACCTTTTTAGTCCAACATTAAGGGGGGTTAAGATACTGGTCAAGACACTCATGCTCCATATTACAGTGCCTGTTTTCAAGCACTGACTTCTCTCCAGATTCCAGCTTCCTGTTAATGTGAACCGTGGGAAGCAGCAGGTGATGGCTCAAGTGGTTGCGTACCTCTTCTCAGTGTGAGAGAGCTGGATTGAATTTCTGGCTCTGACTTGGGCAATATCACTGCAAGCATTTGAGAAGTATATCAGTGGACGGGAGCTCTCTCACATGTACATGTGTATTCTTTCTCCCTCATTCTCTATGTGTGTGTGTGTCTGCCTCTAAAATAGATAAAGATATGAAGCATATCCACTTACTATAAAAATATATATAATTTATATAACTATACAACAGTAAGTCATGTGGAAGGTGGGGTTTTTTTGCTTATTTTACCATTTCAGCCAAAATTATTTGAACCTAATATGTTACAGAGAATTACATGAACAATTATTTTTTCCTGAAGAAATAATTGAAATTTTACATCAAATAAAGGTCAAAGGATTGTTCCTTATTTTTCAGTTTCCATCATATTTGTGCTACTTGTAAGATAAGCTATTATTGCAAGAATGATATGATGGGGTATCCAGGCCTCCACAAGACCAAACCAAGGACTCAAACTCCTACTTAGTAAACAGCTGATAAGATAAAAATTCCTGTTGTGAAAGCATTTTTTTACTTGTATAGTCATATTTATAAAAATCACGTATTATGCACATAAAATGTAAATTATTATACATATAAGGGAGTTATATTTTTAAAAAACTGCTAGTATGATTTTTGATTAACAATACTCATCCTAGGTAATAAGCCAGTGCATGCAGCTTTATACATAATCAAAGAAGAAATGATGTGGAGCATGCCATGGTCAGTGCCTAAAGAGGAAATCTTGATTAAAACATCATGGTGTGAGCCCAAAGGCAACCCAAAGCTACCTAGATTTTATGCAGTGCCCATGAAAATTACATCTACATGTCCTAATACAGTTGTTCCATGATTTTATAATACAAAGAAAAACTGTGGCCCTTAATCTCTAGGAGCTTCACGGCTCCTACATTAGTTCTTCACTGAACAATCTTAGATCAACATAAGTAAAATATGCATGCACACACAGAAAAACACACATACAAATGCATACTTATAACAATCGCCTTTCAAATACTTCCTACTCTTTTACACAGAGCTGACCTCAAGTCTCACCATTTCCAAAAGTTGGTCCTGAATAATACCAAAGTATCTGAACCACTCTGAACTTCCTGCCAACAAGGGACACCAACATTTATAACGGTTTTTGCTTTAGTTTTTTTTTTAATACTAGACAACAAATAACAGCATCTGAGCATTTTACAAAGGCTAATAACCATAAAATATTTATGTGTCACTGTGGGTAACATGTTGGCAATGCTTTTTCATTTATCTTTCCTACAGTTGCACATAAGCAAATTCTACTTCAAACAAAGAAGTAAAATAGAGCTATCTTCTCAGCTTTATTCCAAAAGACAAAAACTGAGGAATAGGCCTTCTGAAAATAGCAATAACAAAGACTGGGGAAAAAAACTAATGAATAAGTATGGAAGTCTATATGCATATATAACATGGAAATACCTACTAGGGAATTTGAAGACTGATGATAATAAATAGATTGATGCAAAGACCTCTCCAGAATTCAAATATCTAACACCATTTTGCTAGACTACATCCCTAAGTATGGCCTGCAAAGACACCCACGTTGTAGCATCTTTCTTCCTCCATCCTACTGGCTCATCTCTAGTGACAGTGGCTATTGTACTCTTCCCCTTCAACTCTGGCCTTATTTCTGTTCCTAAGATTCCTTTTGTTTTTAATTTAGAGTAGTATGTTTATTATTGACAAAGATATAAAAAATAAGCATAATGATGAAAATGCATAATTACCTGGTAGTTGGATTTAATGTCCTTTCCCACCCAGAAGACAAAATTCAAGCAAGAAAAATTAAAAATTATTCTCTTCATTAGAAAGTAACTAGATCACTTGGACTGGTGAGATGGCATTGGTACATGCCACCTTGATGGGATTAAGTTGGAGTCCCCTGGTATGTTTCTAACTCTACCATTTGGGGAAAGTCAGCTTGAGCATGTCCCAAATTGTACATTTTTCCCTCTCATATTCCTACTCTTATGTTTAACAGGGATCACATTTCAGTTAAATTTCAACACTTAAGAATAACTGTGTATTAATTACAGAATTAAACCAGTCATATTAAGTAGAACAGACAAAAAAACTACTAAGAGGGATAATGTATTAAGTTGTTCATTATCAGTCAGGGCTATGCTGATCAAGTCACCGTTTCCCATAGTGTCCATTTCACTTCAGGAGGTTTCCTTTTTGGGGTTCAGTCAGTTGTCACCGATCAGGGAGAACATATGGTATTTGTCCCTTTGGGACTGGCTTATTTCACTCAGCATGATGTGTTCCAGATTCCTCCATTTTGTTGCAAATGACTGGATTTCGTTGTTTCTTACTGCAGTATAGTATTCTAAAGAGTACATATCCCATAATTTCTTTATCCAGTCTACCGTTGATGGGCATTTAGGTTGGTTCCAGGTCTTAGCTATTGTGAATTGAGCTGCAATAAACATTAGGGTGCAGACCGCTTTTTTGTTTGCCAATTTAAATTCCTTTGGGTAAATTCCAAGGAGTGGGATGGCTGGGTCGAACGGTAGGGTTATCTTCAGGTTTCTGAGGAATCTCCAGACTGACTTCCATAGTGGCTTGACCAGTTTGCATTCCCACCAACAGTGGGTTAGTGTCCCTTTTTCCCCACATCCTCTCCAGCATCTATTGTTGGTAGATTTCTGAATGTGAGCCATTCTAACCGGGGTGAGGTGAAACCTCATTGTGGTTTTGATTTGCATTTCCCTGATTGCTAATGACCTAAAACATTTTTTCATGTGCCTGTTGGCCATTTGGATTTCCTCTTTTGAAAAATGTCTATTGAGGTCCTTGGCACATCTCTTAAGTGGCTTGTTGGTTTTGTTTTTGTGGAGTTTATTGATCTCTTTGTAGATTCTGGTTATTAACCCTTTATCTGTTGCATAGTTTGCAAATATTTTTTCCCATTCTGTCGGTTGTCTCTTCACTCTCCTGACTGTTTCTTTTGCAGTACAGAAACTTCTCAATTTGATGCAATCCCAATAGTTGATTTTGGCTTTGACTGCCTGTGCCTCCCGGGTCTTTTCCAGAAATTCTTTGCCTGTACCAATATCTTGAAGGGTTTCTCCAATGTTCTCTAATAACTTGATGGTGTCAGGTCGTAGATTTAGGTCTTTAATCCATGTTGAGTGGATTTTTGTGTAAGGTGTAAGGTAGGGGTCTTGCTTCATGCTTCTGCACGTGGAAATCCAGTTTTCCAAGCACCATTTGTTGAATAGACTGTCCTTGCTCCAGGAATTAGTTTTAGATCCTTGATCAAATATAAGTTGGCTGTAGATGTTTGGGTTGATTTCTGGTGTTTCAATTCTGTTCCATTGGTCTGTCTGTCTGTTTCTGTACCAGTACCATGCTGTTTTGATTACAACTGCCCTGTAGTATGTCCTGAAATCTGGTATTGAGATGCCTCCGGCTTTGTTTTTGTTGTACAAGATTGCTTTAGCTATTCGAGGTCTCTTGTGCCTCCATATAAATTTCAGCACCATTTTTTCCAAATCTGAGAAGAAGGTCTTCGGTATCTTGATTGGTATTGCATTGAATCTATAAATTGTTTTTGGGAGAATGGACATTTTGATGATATTGATTCTTCCAATACATGAGCATGGAAGATTCTTCCATTTCTTGGTATCCTCTTCTATTTCTTTCTTTAAGGTTTTGTAATTTTCATCGTAGAGATCTTGAATGTCCTTGGTTAAGTTTATTCCAAGGTATTTGATTATTTTTGTAGCTATTGTGAATGGGATTGATCTTAGAAGTTCTTCCTCAGCCATGGCATTGTCTGTGTATACAAAGGCTGTTGATTTTTGTGCATTGATTTTATACCCTGCTACTTTGCCAAACTCTTCTATGAGTTCCAATAGTCTCTTAGTAGAGTTCTTTGGGTCCCCTAAATAAAGAATCATGTCATCTGCAAAGAGGGATAGTTTGAGTTCTTCCTTCCCAATTTGTATCCCTTTAATTTCTTTTTCTTGCCTAATAGCTCTGGCTAGAACCTCCAGAACTATATTGAATAGCAGTGGTGAGAGTGGGCATCCCTGTCTGGTACCAGATCTCAGTGGAAATGCTTCCAACTTTTCCCCATTCAATAGGATGTTGGCTGTGGGTTTTTCATAGATTGCTTGATTGTATTGAGGAATATTCCTTCCAAACCCAGTTTGCTTAGAGTTTTCATCATGAACGGGTGTTGTATTTTATCAAATGCTTTCTTGGTGTCTATTGAGATAATCATATGGTTTTTCTTCTGCAGTCTGTTAATGTGGTGTATCACATTGATTGTTTTGCGCACATTAAACCATCCCTGCATACCAGGGATAAATCCCACTTGGTCTGGGTGGATGATCTTTCTGATGTGTTGTTACATTCTATTGGCGAGAATTTTATTGAGGATTTTTGCATCTATGTTCATCAGGGATATTGGTCTGTAATTCTCTTTCAGTGCCGCATCTTTTTCCGGCTTAGGAATTAAGGTGATGCTGGCTTCATAGAAAGAATTTGGGAGGATTCCCTCTTCTTCGATTGTTCTGATTAGTTTGAGAAGAATTGGAGTCAGTTCTTCTTTAA